AAAAAAAAAAAAAAGAGCAGGACTAGAGGGATCGTGAACTGCAGAGGTGTAAAACTGAGAGACCAGTTGCCAGCTCATTCCTTTCAGAAGCACCCACTTTCCAGTTTCAGCCTGTTAGCTCATTAGTATTTCCTCCACCCACAACCGACCGTTTCAGAAAAAAATTTAGGGTCTATGAAGGATCAGTAGAGATTTTCAAGCCATGATACATAAAAAGAGAACCTTCAAAAGTGCAACATTGGAATTTGAAGTTCTAGCTTCTTATCCCTTTTCTTAGAAGGCTAAGTATCAGGATGATTTTCTAGGACTTAGATTTAAAATAGATTTCTGTTCTAGTTAATAGTCACTTCAGTTTTTGAACTTTACTGATTTTAGCTTCTATACAGCAGCAGTTCTTTCAAACGAATTCTTACATGCTATTCAGTACTAAACAGTTTTCTCCTGCTCTCCTGAACAATCATACTGGGTGGGAACTTGGGCCAGACGCTTTCTTGCACGTGAGTCTGGTTGGCGGCAGAGTGTAGCTATAGGGCCTCCTCAGCTGGGCCTGACGTCGGGTGGTCGTTTCCGTGGCCAAGCTCATCTTGCCACCCACCCACTTCCTGGCCTCCTCGGGCCATCTCTGCTGTGTGCACCGAGCAGTGATTGACGGGCAGCCCACGCGGCTCTGCCGAGACCAGGACGTTTTAGGCCTGCAGCGACCTTAGAAGGCACCTGCTTTAGCCTGCTTATTTTACTTGATTGGGTAACTGAGGCCCAAGAGGCTTTGGGCTTTGTCTGAGGGCTTCCATTAATTAACAGCAGGAATTGGAGTTCTCAAAAGAGATTATTTCCTGAGGTTAAATCAAATGTTTGGCAAGATGATGAGTCAGGCACAACTTCCCCAGTGGCATTTTATATGGAATTGAAGTTTTCATGTTACTTATAAATTTGTTTTACTCGTTTACAGAATACCATTAGCAAACTAGGACTCTCAAAGTTTACAAAATAGTGAAAGTCACATTTAAGTATTACATACTTTTTTGAGGTTGTGTTATGTGCTTAGTGGAAATATGAGAAAATGCCAAGTTGTCTCTATTTCAAAATAGGTTAAACAGTAACTGATTTTTTTTTCAGTACTTGTTCATGTTATAAAAGAGACCAGACATAAAAAGTGCTTGTTTTCTTGAAAACGTATGTATTTTGCCATGTGATGCTGAGGCCAAGAATACAGAACCAGGGGTTATAATCTCTAGTAAAGTCACGTTTCTGATTTCAAGTGTGTGGAACGTGAGTCCTGGGCAGTGCTCCGGCAGGAGTTGGATTTTCAGTATGCTTCTCCTTTGAGTCCATGGTTTTTCAGCGAGGATGTATTCCTGTAGTGCAAAGGTGGCTGCCCGACCTTGAGCAGCTGTCCCAGCAAGTCATTTTGTCTGCACCTTCCCACGGATGAACAGGGCTTGGGTTTGGGCCCTTGGCTTGTCTCCCTGCCCTGCTGAGCTCGGTGTGCTGCGACCTGGGGTTGTCGGACTCCTAGCACTACAAGAGTCGATTTGCAGCGTTCCTACTTTCTAGCATTAGAAAGATCCACAGAGTCCAATAAGTGACTTAGAAAATGGTCTTGGGTTTCCTAATAACTAAATGCATGACTAATAGCAGCAGTCAGTTCCTACACTCAAACTGGTAAGAGGAGGAGGAATGCAGATGGTAATAAATACATAAGCACAGCACGCATATCTGAAGGATATGACTTGAATGTGAATTTCTAACTCACAAATGCACGCCAGAAGAGGGACCCGCTCATGGCAGGCAACTATCGCCAAGACCTGTTCCGTAACTAGGCCACCTGCCCAGTGCCCGTGTCCCTGTGTGACTAGGGTGTGCGCCCTTACGGGAGGCAAGATCTTTCTTGTCCATCGCCTGGGATTGACTGGCTAGCACCAAGAGTCTTGAGAAGGTGTCTCATCCTGCGGTACAGTTTCAGCCCTTATTCAGCATGTGAGGAACAAAAGGACAGAGTGACCTGGTTTCTGTCTCCTACAGCAGCCCCCCTGCCCTCTGCAAAATTGCCTGGTAGGATTCCAGCAAAAAATGAATGCTAATAGATCACTGAAACTTTTTCCCAAAACTTGGTTGATTTATCCCACATGTTGTGTCTTATTTTTGAAATTCCAAATTTTAATGCATGATTTTGTTTTTTAACTCAGAGTCAAAAAAAAATAAGGTCAGTGTTGATTTGATAAGTGGTGACGTGGAACGGTAGCATTTAATGCAATGGGACAGTGGCTACACAAGGCCCCATTTGTTCCTGATTCTACTGGAATTTCAAACAGGATGCTACTTCTGAATCCACTGAGCTTTTTTGGTTTTTTTGAGGGCCACTAAGTCAAGAAAGCACAAGGTCTGTTTTTACCATGTTGGTTTATAGGTAGGTGAGTTAGCTACATAAGCAGAGCACTGCCAGCTACATTTACAGTTGTTGGTAGAGTCCTGATCTGGGGTCCGCAGTGGCTGCATGTCGCATGGTGAAGAGGAAGAAGCCCTTCTCCACATGGGTTGGAGTCGGCTCTTGCCCTTTGGGGACAGTTAGCCCGTACGCGTGCTGTCTGTTTCTAGATCAGCACACATATCTGTGTACTCCACGAGGGAGCAGAAATCAGTGTCTATCCAAACCACAAAGCTCCGAATTTCTGTGACCCTGGTTTTTATGGGAGACCCTGGGGACTGGGATCACTATTTATAGTGTTGTTCCTAAGGAAGTGTTTACTCAAATCCATCTGGGCGGCTTGTCAGCTAACCCTAAATTAGCTTCTGTCTGTCCAGCTACTATCCCCCCTGGGCCTCAGCCAGAGGGCGTGTGGCCAGGGGAAGCAGGCAGCGGCTCCCAGGCGCTCTCCTAACCAGGCGCTCTCCTAACTGCGAGTGTGCAGGCTCCGCGTGGAGTCCTGGCTGCCATGCAGAGTGGACAGCTGGTGCTTACCACTTTTAACTCTCTCCCCACCCAGGATGAGTGCTGCCCCGCCACCGAGGACAGGAGTGAGACCTCCCCTATGACCACCAGCACCCTCACCATCCAGGAGTACTTCTCCCATCGCATGGCCCAGCTGAGGAGCAAGCCACAGGACCCCATCCCCAAGCCTGGCCTTTCAGAGACCCATGTAGGATGGAACAGGGGAAGGAAAAAAACCGGAGAGGCAGCAGATCAAGATGTGGAGAATTATCCCCAAACCAAGGCCAGGCTGCCTAAAAAGCAAAAGCGGGAGGAAGAGCCGAGCCAGGGACGTGTGACCAAGAAGGGAGACGGGGCCCAGCGGCAGCCGGCAAACCCCTGGGGCGGTGAGGCCGCTCAGGACTGTGCGCAAGGCCCCGGTGACCGGGAGTGTGCCCAGAAGCCCAGAAAGGAGAGAGCAAAGACCAAGCCGCAGCAGCCAGCAGAGGCAGCTGCCGATGCTGCACCGGATGAATCCCCTGTGAAGAAGAAGAAGAAGAAGAAGAAAGCTTCCAGATGAATTCTCTCCAGCCAGGACCTCTGACCACTGCACTGTCAGGAGCTGCCGTGCGGGTGCTCTCTGGCCTGAAGTCAGCAGAGTTAACCCCGTGCCGCGGGGGCACAGCTCCCAATGTGCCGGGAGGTGCCGCGTCTGGTCCTCTCACCACACTCCCCGTTACCTCCAGGAGAACAGTCTCTGCTGTCCAGACCGTGCTTCTCCGGACAAATAAATCTTTCTAAACTCTGAGCCTCTCACATGAGCGTCTGTCTGTACTCATTCGAATGCACACATCTGTGTGTGTGTGCGCGTGCGCATGCACCCTTGTCCTGTCAGTGTGCTCTGGCTCAGACCTCCCTCGGGAACAGGGACTTGTGCTTCCTCCTGAAGAACTCCATGTAATTAAGGCATGAAGAGGCCATAGTTTGCATTCAGAGAGTTCCTTCTGTTCTATAGCCAGCTGCACATCTCTGCCAAGTCGGAATTACGGGACTGCATTCCCAGGTGAGGGGCTTTGTGTGCTGTGCTCTGGGTTGGTGGGGCAGCTGTCCTTGCTGGGTGTCGCAGCCTGGGACAGTCAGCAGCTGTCATCCAACGCCACCCACCACAGGCTCTGCCTTAGGTGTAGTATCAGGTCAGGGGGTCCTCAGGAGGGTCCAAGTACTGAGCAGCTTGGACTATGAAACCAGTACACCTCGAAGTCCCTCTCCTGGCCGGGACTGCCTTTGGAGAGCTAAAAGTATACATCTATAAATAGTCAGACACCTTTCAGCCCTGCCCTAGCTGGATGGTGTGCCTTGTGTCTGTGGCACCATGGCCGCCTGCCGGCCTGCCTCCCATGGGCTGCTGGCCTAGCCCTGCGTGGGTGCTGGGAGAGGAATGCGGCCCTGCGCCTTCTCTGCCTGCGCCCTCCCTCTGCTCTCCTCCCTTGCCTCGTTGCCGCCTTTCCTTCAACTCCCGCACACTTGAATCCCTCTCACTGGCTCTTGTTTTCAGTCCCTGGCTCCCATGACCCCTCCCCCTGGGCTGCCTCCCTGTCCTGCTGGGGCATCGCATGCCGCTGGCCCTGCTGCTGACCGGGTGAGGCAGGGAGGCCCTGGCTGGCTGGCATTGTTCTCTCTTGATTTATAGATCACTGCTGGTAGCGGGAACTAAAACACACTCTCCTGACTTTTCCCTTGATTTTAACTCTCAAGGTCAAACATGACATAGGAAGCCTAACCCCAAGAGTCTTGATATTGAGAAATACATGAAGAGCTTTTAGGTTTAGTCTGTAAGAACAGTGAATGGTGCTGTTTGAAAAGACACCCCCACCACCATGTGTGTGAAAGTGCACGCGTGCGCGCGCACACACACACACACACACACACGCACGATCCCTGGACTCAGCCTGGTCTCCAAACTTTATCATCTCCCAGGTTTACAATCCCAAGCAAATAAAGCCCCAGGATTTGCAAAGTCACTTTCCTCATCAAGGGCACATACCCAAGCTACCTCTGCTTGTCCCATCTTGTAGGTGAAACTGGAGGCCCAGGAGGGAGTGGGAATACATGGAACCCAAAGGGCACGATCTTCCACGAACATTAAGCCAGCTCCTTTTTGCCTTGTGCTACATTAACCTTCACTTCATCAATAAGGAGAGCTAGGCGGACTGGGACAAGTGCGGGAAGGCCAGGAAGCGGGTGGGGCGGGCGCATTTAGGACAGCTGGAGCGGAGCTGCAGCTTCGTGGGAGGCCAGAATTGCATGGCAGGCCAAGGTGGGAGGTGCTGCAGGAGGTGGGATCTGCAGCAGCCCCTGGCAGTGTCTGAAGTGCGACTTGTGCAGAATGGAGGTGGGTCGGGTTGCAGCTGTCTGGTGGGCTGGAGAAAGGACCCCTGGACAATTGTAACTCCCGAGAATAAGGCCCAAGCTTAGACTGCACGTGGCCGTCTGCTTTGAAGGAGGCAGAGAATTTTCTCAAGATGCCCTCAGCTTCCCCGCCCCCCGCCACCCCCCCGGGTCTCTCAAGCCACTTTGTTGAGCGTTGAAGCAGAAGTTATAACAATGAGGTACTCAGAATTGCATTTCATGGGCCTGATATTTTTGAAATTGTTAGCACATATGAACCCTCATTTTTGCCTGGAATTATCTACCCAGGTAGAAAATACATTGATTTTATACTTTGCTGTGCTTTCTTGTTGTCCTTCAGTTTGAAGAGGAAAAGCAGGATCCCAGGAAAAGAACTGTTCAATGAACAAGATCTTCTGTTGTCTTGCAGCAACCTTCTTTCCTATTCTGTTGTACATTATTTTTATAAGATGAAGTCTTAGCCAGACAGTGGGTGTCATCCCAGCACTTGGGAGTCTGAGGCAGGGGGATTGCTTCGAGGTCAAGACCAGCCTGGGATACATAGTGAGATCTGTCCCCCAAAATTAAAAAAAGATAAAGTCTTACTTGTCTGCCCTTATTTCAAGCACTGAAAATTGATCGATTCATTCAAATACTCAGACAACCCCAAGAGGCAGCCATCATTATTATCCCCTTTAGACACCGCTTCCAGTATCTACAAGTAGATGAATGCTGTCCATGGACCCACAGCGCCCCAGATTTCTCTGCCAGTCAAACCTCAGCTCTTCACCCTTGACCCCAGCCCACAGGGTTTTGTGTTGCAGGTGCCCTGCACGTCAGCTGCTTCCAGGTGGGAGTGGATCTGGAAGCGGTGGCAGACAGCAGTCGTACCAGTAACTCAAGTTGGTACATTTGTATCTGCTGCAGAAAGTGCCTTTGGGTGTGCTGCGCAGTAGACATGCTCAACGGATTCACTTTTCTAACGTGGTCAGGTGGTTAGCTGGAAATTGGATGAGTCAGATCCTTGAAGCCTGTTTGCAAGTGTGTGAAAAAATTAAAAAGAACTTCTAATTTTAGGAAATATTGATGGTTTTGGAAGATGAAACTCAAATGAGCGCTTGTTCTCTAGCCCAGGCCATGCCTGTTTTCTCTCCTCACCTGTTCACTGAGTGGCAGGAGCAGGTCAAGACCTGTCTTCTCGAGGAATCAGAATCAAGAGTTTCAGCACAATCTCTCCAAGTGATCTCAGCTCTCGATCAGCCAGCAGCGGCTGTATTTAGTTTTGAGTAAGAACTTCCTCGCCAGCGCCACCCTGTTTATCTCGCACCCTCTGCAGTTTGGAGCCTGTTATGCTGGCATGTGGAGCCCAGGTCAGATTGGGTGCTCGATGCGATTTTATAGTGATGGGTTATTAATGAGCAAATTAGTACCATCCTCTCATGAAATGGATGACTAAACTCCTTGCATAAAAGGACACAGTCTGTTTAGGAAATACTGAATGTGCTAGGGTGACATGTACAGCTGTCACGGAACCAGTAAGGGGGGAAAAGGCCAGAGAAGAAGGGTGATAGGGACTGGGAGCACTGCGGTCCCCAGGCAGTGTGGATGCAGCTGCGGGCCCGGAGGAAGGTGAACAAGGCTGCTTCCTCCTCCTGAGTTTTGTGTGTTATTAGCAGTGAACTTTTAAAGGTAGGGAACTGCAGTGAATTCTTCAGGTGAGGGAAGGGCTGAGTAATTAATTACATCTGAAATGTTGTGTATTTTCTGTATTGGATTTCCTTTGAAAAGGAAAGGTACGTGGATGATGAAAAGCAATTATTTGTTGTAAAAACTTTTATTGAGCAGCTTTGGCCTATAGGCTAACTCAAGGCAGAGTAACTGACCCATGATCGAATCTACCCACATCGGAGTCCCACACATTCCTGTATTACAGTGGACCGCCGAGTCCTGGAGTGATCTCGGTGGACTTACCCAGGGCCTGGCCTCCGCTTGCCTGGCTGGGGAGTGACCCGCCCCCACTCCATTCACATTCATGAGAGACAGGGCTGTAAGCGGCAAAGGGCTGCTAGCATGATTGTGCTTCAGCCTAAGGAGTAGCTTTCTTCTGAAGTCTCTTACTGAAAGCGTTCCTAACTGCGTGATGAGCACAGTGGTGTTACGGGCCTCCCTCCACATACAGGGCATCAGAGGCGAGGTACACCTAAGCTGGAGGCACTGCTCAGGTGGCTGGGCGCTAGAACGGAGTTTGCTTCCTGTGCCCATGTCACTAGCAGCTCTGCTGAGGGGACAGGGTGTGGAATGGCAGAGGTGGCTCACCTCACCTGCTAGTCAGGGACACCCCTGGAACCTGACTGAGATAAAAGCAGGTATTAAAATATTTGTTGAAGTGACCCACTGCAGCTTTCAAAACTCGGAGAAATGAGGCTGTGAGGCATCTGGGGTGACCCAGCTCCTGGACTGACAGCACCCTCACCTTCACCTCCAAGAGGCTCCCGGCAGGCCTGTACCCCAGCCTCCAGTCTTGCTGGCTCCAGAAACGCCTTTCCCAAGCCCCACCTTTCCCCTCTGTGCCTTGGCTTTTCCTCCCACTGCCATCAACTACGATGAGAACATTGGGGTCCTTGAGTGTTTCTGAGTCAGACCCTGTCCTCACCTTTGGTCTCTCTGCGTTCTAAGAACTACATGGATGCTTATGGCTGTGGGCTCTGCTGCTTTCTGGACAATTCCCAGGTATGCATCTCTGGCCCCCACTGATCCTGAGCTTTTGTCTTGCATCTCCAGCAGACTGGAGACCCTGCCGAGGTCCTCAGATTCAGAGGGTCTGGGGGAGCTCTTGCTCCCTCCCAAATGAAATGCTGTCCTGTTGTTACGGTCCCCATGCTCCCATTCCTGGTGGCTCCAACGTGAAGAATTGTTTCAACAGCACAGCCAAATTAAATGCCTGCCCTCCGTGCACAGGAAGTGGGTCCTTGCCCTCATAGCCTAGTACTCCTCACTCACAAGCCCTGCCTGTTGAACAGTGCCCTGTGCTCATGGATCTAGTGCCCCTTTGCATCCTCATTGCCTCTGACCAATTCATTCCGACTCCCGCTCCCCTGGGCCATGGCTCCCGTCCCACTGGCTCCCTGGCTGCAGTCTCTGTCTAGCCCATTACTGTGGGTCTCCTCCGTCACCTCCTGCTGGGCTTCCTTTCTCTGCCCACTGCCTCCAAGGAGCTACACCCTTCTGGCTCATCATAGTGCTTCTTGCACCTGTCAGAGTCTACTAGCAGTAAGAGTTTTTGGGTATAGCACCATCTCCATTCCATGCTGGATCTCTATCCCTGTAGCACCCAGAATGATGCCTTGCACATAGTGGGACTCTTAAATAAAAAATGAACAAACCACATCTAGGCAAGAATCTGCTTTGAGGGCCTGAGATATATCCCA